TGAGGAGCTCAGCTTGCGGTTGGAGGTGGGAATGAGATCCACCACAGAGCAGATGCGCTCTTGGATGCAAAGCTCATCTTTATTCTGTTCTCCGCACGCTGTGCGTGCTCCGGAGGAGCTGCTCCCGTTGAGAGCCCTGCTCTGTACAGAACAGTCCTAAAAAAATGCATCCTTTTAAATACCCTGTGCAAACTCTGCAGGGTGCCTGGTTATCAGCACAACACGCGCTCGAGACCGCTGTGAAGCGCCACTTTGGGTTTCCTTCTATTTACAGCCAGCCCGTAGGTTATTTGCATGAGTTAATAAAGCAAGGAGGGAGGGAAAAACACACACAGACAGCGAGCGCACGGTGTGTTTTGCTTGAAAACGGCTCTTTGGTTTTCCACGAGACGGCGGCTGCTCGGCGGCTCGGCGCTGACAGAGCTCTGAAGCGTGCTCCCGTAATCTGTCTGCGTTTCTCCGCTTCCCCTTGCTGTTCCCAACATGCTCAAAATCATCAAAACGGTGAAATACTGTCCCGCGGCTGCAGGAAGAGGAATGAGACTGTGTTCCCAGTATCCAATCATCTGCTTATTCTGCCTGTTCTTCAGAATGGAATTTATTGAAGCAATTTATCCTGCCTAAATGTGGTATAAATCTGAGCACATGTATGTACATACCAGTCCTATTCCGGAGTGAACGAGCAGCTAAATCTTTCTTTAAAGAATGAGCGAATCCTCCTGACACTTTGCAAGATCAAGTAAACCGAAGGGGTTTTTTTTGCAGCGTGTTGGTCCTGGGTTGGTTTTTTTTTAATAGAGCTGCTTGTTATGCTATGGGAGGTAGCTGGCAGGCAGCCCGAAATGCCATTGGGTTTTTGTGTTGTTTCCCTGCTCCCCGTTTCAGTTAGCGACATCAAAACCCTGGGAGTGACAGCTGAGCCGTTTCTTTAATTTCTCAAATAGCTTTTATAGGCATCGGAAGCATAAATATGAGGTAAAGAGACCCTGAAGTTCTTTGTATCGACGGAGGCAGCTGAAATGTCAGTGGTAAGGACAGATCCCTGACCTGTGTTAATTACAAAAGCATGGGCTTGGCTGCCCCGTGAAATACAGCGGTCTCCTTCCATAATAATTACCCTGCGTGCTTAACGATAAGATTTGTTTGTTGATGGAGTAAACACGTCCCCAGTCTCATCCCACGCAACCCGGTTTAAATGAACGGGGGTGACTGAAGCGGTCTTCAAACTCTTCCAGCGCCAGCCTGACTTTGACAGCGAGGGGCATCACGGCCGTCCTTAAAGTTCAGTGACTTTGCTGCTGTCCTGGTGCCATCGCTCTTAACAAACACCAATCTGAGCCCCCATGAGCGCAAACTTCACAGAATCACAGAATCCCAGACCGTTAGGGATTGGAAGGGACCTCCAAAGCTCACCCAGTCCAATCCCCCTGCCGGAGCAGGAACACCCAGATGAGGTTACACAGGAAGGCGTCCAGGCGGGTTTTGAATGTCTGCAGAGAAGGAGACTCCACAACCTCTCTGGGCAGCCTGGGCCAGGGCTCTGTCACCCTCACTGAGAAGAAGTTTCTTCTCCAATTGAAGTGGAACCTCCTGTGTTCCAGTTTGTGTCCGTTACCCCTTGTCCTATCATTGTTTGTCACCGAGAAGAGCCTGGCTCCATCCTCGTGACACTCACCCTTTAAATATTTCTAACCATGAATGAGGTCTCCCCTCAGTCTCCTCTTCTGCAAACTAAAGAGCCCCAGCTCCCTCAGCCGCTCCTCAGAAGGGAGATGCTCCACTCCCTTGATCATCTTTGTAGCCCTACGCTGGACTCTCTCCAGCAGTTCCTGTCCTTCTTGAACTGAGGGGCCCAGAACTGGACACAATATTCCAGATGCGGTCTGACCAGGGCAGAGTAGAGCGGGAGGAGAACCTCTCTGCCCTACAACCACCCCCCTCCTGATACACCCCAGGATGGCGTTGGCCTTCTTGCACCCCTCACTTTGCAGGCAGGCAACCGACTTGTCAAAGCCTGCAAAAACTGTTGAGAGGGGGGAAAAAACAAGGTCCAAGACAGCGATTGCTGACTTTTATTTGCTCTGTGTCCCCCAATATCACAATCTTGCCACCCGCCGTACTGCAAAGGTGATGGTAAAATAACCTGGTATTCATCGAGTTGATGTTTCCTTTGTGCCTGGTCTGATTTCTCTTACTATTTTCTTGCAGAAAGAGTAGGAATTAGGCCGCCCTCTGCTTGGAGTGGGCGATGAAGGATGAAGCCCTGCGTGTGGCCTGGTGTGGCTTTTTGTGCAGCTCACTGGGAGGTTTAGGTGCAATATTTTAGGACCTCAAGTGCAGGTGATTAAAGGTGTTTAATTGGTTTTGTGCTTCTCTTCTCTGCAGTGTCAGGGAGCTGATCTGAGCAGTGGTTTGGGATTACAAGGAGGTTTGGCCTCTTCATCTCTCCTTGCTAGAGACCATTTCTGCGTGTTGAAACTCCCCAGGGCTCCTCTGTGCCTTCGGCGCAGGTCGTGACAGCGGCTCCATGTCCATTTTTGGGATGCAGCAGATGCAGGGCAGCTACCTCAGGGCCTAAAAGGAGATTCCTCTTGGAGGAGGATGTGTTGCTTGTGGATGGAGGAGAGATCATAGAAATCACAGTATGGTTTGTGTTGGAAGGGACCTTAAAGCTGACCCAGCCCAGCCCTGCAGTGAGCAGGGACAACTTGAACCAGCTCAGGGTGCTCAGACCCCACCAAGCCTGGCCTTGAACATCTCCAGGGATGGGGCCTGCAGCACCTCTGGGCAACCTGTGCCAGTGCTCGACCACCTCGTGGGGAGCAGCTTTTTCCTCAGATCCAGCCTAAATCTGCCCTTTTCCAGTTTAAAACCATCCCCCCTCGTCCTATTGCTCCATGCCCTGGTGAACAGCTCTGCCCCAGTTTCTCACAGGCCCCTTGCAGGTCCTGGCAGGTCGCTCTAAGGTCCCCCCGCAGCCTTCTCTTCTCTTCTCCAGGCTGAACAGCCCCAACTCTCTCAGCTGTCCCCAGAGCAGAGCTGCTCCAGCCCCTCAGCATCTCCGTGGCCTCCTCTGGCCCCTCAATGTCCTTTTTGTGCTGGGGACTCCCAAACTGGACACAGCATCCAGGTGAGGTCTGAGCAGAGCAGAGCAGAGGGGCAGAATCCCCTCCATGGCAGATCCCAGTTTGTGTTGCAGGCAGGAGCAGCGGGTCAGTGTTTTGGTTTCTTGAGCTCCCAGTTTGGAGCTTTGGTGGCAGATCTGAAGGAGGTACAAGGAGTCCTCATCCAGGCTCATCTTGCTGCCACCTGCAGCCCTGTCCCCTCAAGTCAGGACCTCACCAGGGTTTAATCCTCCACTCAGAGCTGCTGTCATCTCCAGATCTGTGAGCCCCACGTTGCTGCTTGGGGGGTGCTGCGATGGGTGGATGCTCCTGGCCAACTTCATTGCCTTTATTTTGGCCACTCACCCGCTCCATTTGCAAGAGGGATTTTTATCCCTTGTGAGTTTGCATTTGCATAGGCCCTGGAGTTTTGACTCATAAATCTAAACGCAGCCTGGTGTTGCGGTCGTCTCTCTCCTCGTTGTGGGTGAAGAACTGGCAGCTCCTTTCTGGCAGCTTTTGGTGGTTGCCGTTGTGTGCTGCGGGGAGGGAAATTCCACCTCTCGGAGATTCTGTGCTTGCCCTAACACATGGTAACAGAAAAATAACCTCTTTTTTCTGTCAGATAAAGCAACAATCGATCGCTGCTGCTTTCCAATAAGAGCAGAACGGGGATTGTTTTCTGCAGCACACGCGTTCCCCCTCGGCCACTAAGTTGCATTCTTGGAGCACTTTCTCATCCAGCTCCTAAAAATACCAACCCTCCCCACCCTCTCGCTGCTGCTCGGCGTGCGTGGATCGATGGGTGGAAATGCGAAAAGCTTCCCTCAAAGCGCCTGCGTCTTCCTGGACGCGGTTTTTGGCCGCCTTCTGGCGCTGACGTGCGCCGCCGAACTTGGAATAAGAGATGCTGGTAGCAAAGGGAACAGCCAGGACGTGGAAACCCCCCCCCCCTCGAAGAGACAGCGTTTGCTTTATTATGGCTTTTTAAAATCCTGCTATAAAAATATCAGTGGGCAGAGGGAGCCATTATTTCTTGAATTTGAGGTGGTGGGGGTTACTTTATTTACTCTTCTTTTTTATTAATAAGAATAGCTTCACTTGTAGCGTAATAGGAGTGAGTGTTTTGTTAGGCTTGGCTATAATCTGTGATAAACTACCCCTGCCATCAGCCTTGTAGTTTACCCACTAGGGAGCCAGATTATTGCCTTGTAAAACGGAGCACCACTCCTATAATCCCTTAATTAATTAAATGACAAATTTTAGTTCTCTCCCATTGAAAATATAACTTGCACACAGAGAGGGCTTGGATTTATTCGCTCGCTTCTTGCTCGCGCTTGGTTTCTTTTTTTTCCTGTAGATTGTCACTGTCTTTGCTCCCGTGTCTGTGCTACAAGAGGGGGATGCAGGCCCTGCCCCTCCTCGACGCCCTCCATCCAGGGGACGATGTTTCGTGGGTCCTTTATGAGAGACGAGCGAGGTCCCCATGGTGCAGGTGGTGACACCGGTGCCGAAAGCCCCTTGGTCCTCTGGAGATTTGGTGACGGGCCTCGATGGGAGCCCAGGCGTGGAAAACTGCTCCTCTCTGCCCGCTGGCCCGCGCTGTCTCACTGCCACGGTTCCCAATGAGCCCTTTTAGCTGCGATGCCGCGCGTTCCCCTCGCACATGAAAAATGGACCGGGTCCTCCAAAGTCATCTTTAAACTTGGGTTGGATTCATTTCTCTCCCCTGATAGCATCCAGGGCGCGACGAGCTCCTCCTTCCCCGCGAGCGCGGCGTTGATTAATGACGGCCCTGCAAAGGGCAGCTTCTGCTCTTGATATTTTTAATTTTTCTGAGCTTATTTAACAATTTCCTCTCTCCTCTCTCCCCAGCTTAACTCAGCTGCATGAAATATGGGAGACGACAGGCCGTTTGTGTGCAATGCCCCCGGCTGCGGACAGGTACGTTTACAGTATACTTTATTGTGAATGTGTCGTTGTGAATCAAAGTGGCTGTTTTATCACTGAGGCAAAGAGTTTAAAGCCGGTGTTTTACGTGATCACTGGAGGTAATCAGATCAGAGGATTTGCAGTGTGTAAATCCAGGTTATGAGCAAGCGCAGGCACTCCAAAGTAATGAAATCTGCCTTGCTTCGTGGCGTATTGTTATTCCGTCGGTGTTTTCCTCCGGACCAGCGAAAAGACGCCACTCTCCCGCTAATGTCTTCTGATAACGTTGCTCATTTTCTTTCAAGGCTGTTTAACCAAAGGACAGTTATTCCTGCTTGTCGGGATGACTTAGCCGCTGCGGCGTATTCCCTAAAGCAGCTGAGAATGTGACACTGGATGGCTCGTGGTATGCAAACCCCAAACTGCCGTCGTCTATTTTGGGCTGGCAAAAATAAGACGGAGCCATTGTGAGTTTTTCCTCCACGGACACCGCACGAGAGTCGGCCACGGCCGTGCGAAACCTGTGCTCGGCTTCCTAGGACGAGCAGTTATTGCATTGAATGAGACACATCTCCTTTTTTGGGTTTCTCATAGGCTCGCTTCCCTACAGAGGCACTTTTCCATTTAATTTTGCTTCGTTTTTTGACGGTGCCTTCCCAAAGCCGAGCTCTGGGGTCTCAGCAGTGCCTCACGCGCCGTATTAACGGGAGGAACGAGGGGGAGTTGTGCAATTACTGCGGAATCCGGGGAGGTTTGGGGTTTTTGAGCCTCAAAATGCTTTTTGAGGACGGGGTGGGATTTGTGGCTTTTAATTCGATATTAAGTGATGCACACACGTGGTTTTCCTGGCTGCAACGCTTGATGTCAGGTTGCCAAACTGTTATGGCTGTTTGGGAGCTCCAACCGATCCCAAGGTGCTCCCCATGCGTTCCCCCCCTCAATTCTTCAGTGGATTTAATATCTTAATGGGTCTCTCAATTGAAATTAAAGAGAATTCTGCATCCCCAGGGCGCATCCTCTGAGGTTGCGCGTGGATTCTGCGACGCATTTATTCCTCTAGCGCAAAAACGGGTCCAAAATCTCATCTGGTAACTCTCAAAACCCCCAGAATCTCTCAGCTTCTTGGTCATTCCAGCACAGGTCCCATCCAAAGCGTTTTCTCTCCACTCGCAGGTGATCTTCCTCTTTTTTCTTCTTCTTCTTTTTTTTTTCCTTTCTTCTTCGTAGGCTGCTTTTTATCTTGAACTTCTTTGCCTGTGAAATTGCGCAAGTCATTTATAAAATGTATTAGCCGTATTTGAGCACTTAATGATGTGAGGACTTCAATCATACAACCTTAAAATCGGATTCAAACAAGCAATTAAGGCAAACAACAATGTATTTAAATTTAATCTCCCACAATCTCCCACAAATGACATATAAAGGTGGTTGCTTCCTCCTTTCGCTGTTCCAGCCTGCTGCTTATGGGTAATTCTGCCAATTCTTCATGTTAATATTGAAATGTTAGAATCCGGGTAATTCATCCCGCCGTGATTCATGGTGATCCAACCTGACCTCGTGCACGGTTTCCTCGAACGTCCTTCAATACCTGTTCAAAGCGGAGCGTGTGTTAAATAATGATGATCCGAGCTTGATTTAAAACATTTCCAGCCATGGAAAATTCACCACAGCCCTTGCTGGAGTTGTTCTAATGGTTAATTGCTCTTGTTGGTCTAGAGAAAAAGGATGCTTGCTTTCCAGTCTGAACCTGCTCGGCTGCAGCACCCAGGCTGTGCATCTTCTTCATTTTCCTGTTGGGTTTTGGGTGTCTGTAAGTGTTTGCCCGTGGATCGAGTCACCCCTTAAAATACCTGGAGCTCCGAGCCCCTCTCTGTAAGTCCTAATTTCTTACGTGCATATATTTTTATCCTTTATTTGAACGGCTTCACATTGAAGGTTTTTGAGCAAATCCTGCTCCCCGCTAAAGCGCAGTGGTACCCGAGAGCCGCACAGACATCGTGGGACCGTCATCCCCTAAAATTACCCTTGGGTGAGCTGCGCTTTCCGGGACGAGCGGAGTGAAATGGGATCATTGTGATGAGCTGGACAGGGTTGTGCAATTGGGAGCTTTACAAGGTAAAAATAAATCCAAATTGGAAGTTTAAGGGGGCTGATGAAGGCCAGCAGCTGCTCGGACACCCAACACGTGCGGCGTTGTTTCCCCAGCAGCTTGAGCTGCTTTTTTGGCGCTAACCCTGACCCCTGCGGAGCCACCGGGGCTCATCCCATCAGCAACGGCGTCTTCCTGTGGACTCGTGGTGAGGTGAAGCCTTAGTAAGGGGCAGAGGGGGCTGCACTGATCTCAACTCGTTCCTAAATATCGAGACCCCGTGTCTTCACACATAGGGGACAAAAAAGGGACGGTCGGGGCTTTGGGATCTACAGAAACATCCTGACCTTCCTGCAGGTGCTGAGCACCTCAGCTCACATCAGAGTCCGGGCAATCCCAAGCTCTGAGCTTTCGGGAAGGTAATTTTGGGTATTTATTTCTCACCCAGGCACACAAACGCACACCCAAGCGGTGCCGTGCTATTGCTCAGCTCGGGAAGCTTTTTCCCAGGCTGTGGCTGATGCGGGAGGAGGCTTCCTTGCAGGATTCAGCCTCTTTTTTCTCATTATTTTAAGACCTTTTGGTGCGTTTTCCTTAGGAAAAAAGGGAGTTGGTGGCCGTTGAGCCTCTTGGGTTATCAGGGCTGGCATTTTTGGGGTAACACCTGGCTCACTGTGAGCTTTCACCATCAGCATCTCTGTTCCTTTCTCTCATTTCTAAACCTTTAATCTGTGCCCAATCCATTGGCGTGCTTTTATCCCTCTTTTATGGATTTTCCCCTGTTGGAGGAGCACGCTCTGGTTTTGGTGGGCTGAGGAAATTAGGATGGGCTTTCATGATGGGCACGGGGACGTATGTTATCCCCTTATGTTATCCCCTTATGTTATCCACTCACCAAAATTACTCTGCCTCTCATAGCATGGGAGGAGAAGGCAGAGCAGAGCCACCCTGATTTGAACAGGAGACTGCAGACAACTCCTGTGAAGCCAATGGTGACTTTTCCCCTTTAATTTAAAGGAAATTCAAGATTATTTTGCTTCCCGGCGCGATTTCTTTGAGCCATTGGATGCCGCTTTCCCTCTGTAGCAGGTACCAGCCCCAGCTTTTAAGCCATACACCTTTTTGTCCTCCTTTTCCTTCCTCTGCGTAGGAGGCAGCTGTAAAGCTCGCTTTTCAGGGAAGTGAAGAGGGGAAAGAGGGAACGGGCACCGAAAATAGCCGAGCGGCTCTGTACCCCCCATCCCATGGCAGGCAGTGGGGCTGTAAACATGTTGTGGTTGCTAGGTCCTTGGCAGGGGTTATTTTTGGGTTCTGTACGTGATCGCTTCCCAGCAGCGAATCTGCTGCGACGCAGCTGACTTCTCCATGTGCCGCATACGCTGCTTTAAAATTGATTCTTCCCAAGGTCACCGGGCTGGCTTCTTCTCCAAGAGGACAGCTGAGGCATTTTCCCCACATTTCTGGACATAAAGAGGGATGTGTCCCCCCAGTGCCACCGTCTGAAGGCCAGGAGGGAGGTGGAGGCAGGCCCCTGGCTCCTAAAACGGCTGCAGGCGGCGTAGGGCGATGCCTTGAGGGAGACCTGGACTGGATCTGATCAGTGGAAGTGATTTGGGGTGGGCAAATCGGTATTGAGATGAGCAGTATTGAAATAATCATCATTTACATCTCCTAAACCCATTGAAAATCCACTGAGTGATGAAAGGCGGCCTGAGCGCAGCCGAGCGCTCGCCGTAAACTTCAGCGTGGCCGTTAAAAGCTGAAAGGTATTAACTAAGTCTGTATAATGAGACCACTCTGACTCATTAACACAGGGTAATTAAAACTTCAGCCATCCCGTGGAAGGCATCCAAAGCAAAGGCCTGCAAGGAAGGTGAGAACTTCGGATGCTGCTTCGTTACCATGAGCCGGTGGTGCGAGGGAAGTCGCCCAACGTCTGGGTCTGTAATTATCCCCTATAAAACTGTGTTAAACCCTTCTGGGGGTGTCTCCTCCCTTATAAAACTGCATTAAACCCTTCTGGGGGTGCCTCCTCCCTTGTAAAACTGCATTAAACCCTTCTGGGGGTGTCTCCTCCCCTATAAAACTACATTAAACCCTTCTGGGGTTGCCCGAGGGTGGATTTGGCGCTGGGAAACACGGGTCGATGGATGGAGGTGCCTCTCCACCAGCCCTGCCTCTCCTGCTTCTCTGCTGAAGGCTCGAGGCTTTATGAAGTGCCATAACGGAGGAACATCTTTATTAATAAAACTGTTTGGTCCACTCCTGTTGCCCAAACTAATGGAGGGCCCATAATATTGAATATGTTCTGCAGGGAGCAAGGCTTTTCCTTAGCCCCTGCCTCCTCCCTCCACACCGTTTCACTTTTTACAAGTGACACAAATCATCGCTCGGGCCCTAATTCCAACGCTACGGTTATACAGGCCATTTCCTCAAACAATCGTTTGCTTTTTAAACCACCCCCCCCCCACTTAATTTAACGATTTATTCCCCTTAAACCCGTGCCACCGAGGTGATGCTCGTGCGGTGTCCGAGAAACGCGAAGCCCAGAACTTTCACGAGGCCAGAAAATGATTTTTCTTCTTTGTGCTTTATTGTATCCTCTTATCTTGTCATATAATAGAAATAATGTTTATGGCATCGAGGCCTCAGCATCGCTTGGCATTTAACCAACCTCAAAAGCAGTTTATTGCTTTGTATACTCTGCCGCCATGACCATTATCCCTTAAATCTCTATTGCTCCGTAATATACGAGGCAACAAATGGCTCCTGCGATTGGTTAAATGTGGAACTGAAGCTAAGGTGTGCTTTGTAGCTTGTATAATCCAAACGAATATAGATTATTCCTTTTAGATGAGTCCTGGTGTAGACAGGAGGGGGAAAAAGGCTCCTCTTCTCTATCCAGGAATTGCCAAGCTCTCCT